TTTTTATTAGTGGCTGGAAACGACCTCTCTTCTGCAGTAAAATGTCATGCCAGTTCACTCCTTTTATTTGTTCTGCACTGACGAGGCTCAAACTCTCACTGAATTAGTGCAGAGAGATTTATTTCCTCCAAATTTTGAACGGCTTAAGAGAGATTGGGGTGGAGGGGCCGGTCGGGAGGGAGGTGACGTGGAGGGAGAAGAGTGAAGAAGGGGTCTGGGAGGGAGAAGGTGAGCTCTTATGGAGGTCACATGTCCTCAGCTCTTTGGATATAAAGTCTAATGACCATTCCTTACATCCCGCTCATCGTCATCGACACTCAGCACTGGAAACCAAGTGTCCACATCCCTGCTTCTAGCCCATGGAGGATATGGACCCAGAGCGGAAGATATCTGGACAGCGGGAAGAAGCACTCTTGAAAAACCATGTTGTAGTGGGACAAACTGAGGCTCAGGGAAGGCCAAAGTCTCTCCTCTAACTGGGAATCCTTCTCCCCACCCATCCCTGGTTCACACAGGGCCATTTGTATTGCAGGTGGCTTTGATGGCAGCTCTCATGGGCCCTTCCATCAGGGTGGACCCCCAAGCCTGCAGTCAAGACTGCTGGGAAGAACTTTTTCTAAGTGGCTGCCAGCCTCCTCTCATGCCTTAGGGGGTGATGTTGGAGGGTAGCTTAGAAAATACAGGTCAGCCTTTAGGCAGGTACAGACTGGGCACCTGGGGAAGGGTAAGTGACTCTCCCATAACTGTGCTGGAAACAGCTTGAGAGAAGCCCAGGACCATGCTGCAGCCACAAAACCCATGGAGTCGCTGGGAAACAGCCTATCTCTCAGGGCGCAGTGCAGTGTCTCAGGGATCCACGTGCATAAGGTAGAAGGTAGTGTCTGGGTTTATCAAGTGAGCCAGGTGGATGGAGCATGGGAGCCACAGGCGCCCCACTGACCATGACCATGGATCACAGGAAAAGTTGTGGGTGATCTCAGGTGCCATCTGAGCTCTGAGAGACCAACAGGGCTCTGGGATGAGGTGGGAGGAACCAGACGCTGGAGTCAGGGGAGGCTGGGATAGGAGAAGAGAGGATCTGGGGGCTGACAGTACTGCTGTCCGTCCTTCAACCCTGACTGCTCAGTCCTCAGGTTGCAGAGCAGCTGGAGAGAGGGTGCCAGGCCAGTGCCTGTGAAGTCTGCCCTGTGCTCCATGGGCTCTTAGTTAACTTGGAGGGAAGGATGGGCAGCATGTTCGTTTCTTCTGAGACAGCAGGAGCCACGGAAGCCTCCCCCAGATATGCCCCCACATACACACGCATAGCCATTCTGGGGAGATCCGACACCTGGAAGTGACGGAGGTTTAGAAGACAGACCCTGGCTGGGGTTCTGCAGAGGAGGTGCATGTTCCCTGGCGTATGTGACAATGCCTCCCACCCGATCCCTGCAAGCCCAGCTCTGTCACGAGGTACCTCATGATGTGACTCCTGCTGCCTTTTCAACCTCATCTCCCTCCACTCCCCACCTGCCCACCTGGCTCCAGCCACACTTGGCTACATTTTGTTCCAGAAACGTGCAAGCTCATTTCTGTCTCAAATACGTTGCTTTTTCTCCTGCTGGAATGCCGATCCCTTAGCTCTTTGCATGACTACGTCTCATCATCCGAGGCTTAACTTAAATGTCACCTCCGCAGAGAGGCCCTCCCTGACCACTCTAAGAAAAGCTGCTCCTCCCTGCAGAAGCAAGGACAGGAGCAGAGGAGATCACCCTTCTCTCCCTACCCAAAGCCTAGTGCTAGTAGCTGGGGGACACAGTCGTGGCAGATCTCTCTTCCTTACCCCACATGCCACTCATACTGTGTACACAGAAGACACCATCCCTGTACACATACACACGTATTGCATACAAACAGCACAGAGAACAGGCACACTGTGCTCACAGCACACAAAATCAGCACCCCAGTTACATACACTACCCATCTGTGCATATATACAGCATTAGCACAACACTGTGTGTGCACACAATGAAAACACACAGGACCCCACACAACACTTGCTCTCATTGACAGCCTGCATACACCCTTGGTGCACACACATGCATATGCACCTGCACGCACACACACACACACACACACACACTTTGTCCCCTCCCTCCAACTAACCAGTGAGAAAGGAATGTGCGGTGACCGCAGCTGCCATGGGGTTGGGGCGGGGGCTGCACCCCCACCACCTGGCACGATGCTGTGGATTATTAGTTCCTGGTAATTTAGTGCCCTTGTACAGAGTCGATTTGTGCCTTTCATTCCTAATTGATCTAGTGGCTGTTTAAATGGCAGCAGGCATCTGTTGAGAGTAGGGAGGTTCATAAGGCGCAATAATTCATAACACCGTCTGGAATTTGCCTTTCATGTCCCTCAGCTAAGCCACTGCAGGCTCTGCTTAAATTACAGCCACTGAGACTTTCTTTGGTATTCCACTCAGGGCCAGGAGAATCTTGCATTAAACTGGGATCAGGTTAGATTAGACTATAATATGCTGCAGTATTAGTGGCTGCAAATGAAGACTTATACTGGAGTTTAACCCCTTCACCTGGTTTTCTCTTTGTCTCCAGCCGAATGTCTAAGCTAACCCATTGTTTTCCCTACCAGCTTCCTGGTAGATCTTTCTCAATGGATCTTCTGGCAATTTGGGGCAGCGAATAGGCCACCCTTAAATATTGACACTTTTTTTCTGCAGACTGCACACCCAGTCTGCAGCCCTGGGGCCCAGCAGTTTAGGCATCAGCTTCCAAAAAAACCAGGGTCGGGGAGAGAGTGTGCAGGGACAGGCTCTGCCAAGCTTAGCAGCTCCTCTGGAGCAGAAATTTCTCTTTTCCTCCTCACCACCCCTGAGTCTGAGTAGAAAGAGCCATAAAATGCATGTGAGTGTGGATGGGGGGACACACTTTCTGTCTTTTTATCCAAAATTGTTAGAATTCCAAGATGGACAGGCTCCTAGGGGTTCCCCCACCCACTTGCAAATACCATATAGGTTAGACATTCAGTCCTTCTCTGTGTGCTCAGTCATGGGGTGCTGGAGGGGAGACCATGGTCTGTTTGCCTTACTTACTGTGTTCTCGGTAGGATGCGGTGGCTCACACCTGTAATCCCAGCACTTTGGGAGGCCAAGGCAGGCAGATCACTTGAGGTCAGAAGTTTAGACCAGCCTGGCTAAAGTGGTGAAATCCTGTCTCTGCTTAAAAAAAAAAAAAAAAAAAAAATTAATCGGGCATGATGGTGGGCACCTGTAATCCCAACTATTTGGGAGGCTGAGGCAAGAGGATCACTTGAACCCTGGAGGCAGAGGTTGCAGTGAGCCAAGATCATGCCATTGCACTCCGGCCTGGATGATAGAGCAAGACTCCGTCAAAAAAAAAAAAAAAAAAAAAAAGACTTACTGTTTCAGTATGGTAGCCACTAGCCACATGTAACCTCTTAAATTTAAAGTAACTAAAATTAAGTAAAATTAAAAGTTCAGAGTCCTAGTTACATATTTCAAGTATCCATTGGCCTCACGGGATTAGTGGCTGCCATATGGGGCAGTGGAGATTGCAGAACATTCCCACCATTGCAGAAAGTTCTGTTGCACAGCACTGGCTAGACCATCCCCTTGGGCAGAGGCATGGGGGCCAGGTTCAGGTCCAACATACATTCCTCCTTCTTGCCCAGCAAATGGGACTACGTCCAAAAAAATAAAAATACAAAAATTTTAAAAACCTACATTGCATAGTCCCAGGAGTCTGGGGAGACAGGACAGAGAGGGATGTGCAGATGCATTTTTGGAACTGCAGTGGAAGGGAATGGGGCTCTCTGGAGTCCAGTGTCAACAACCCATGCACACATACTGCAGAAATAAAGGTGCTGTGGACTTATACACACAAATACGCCTACACACATAACATATATATTTACCAAATACTTTTTGGTAAATCCACATACATCTGACTAGACTTTAGACATATAGTGATAAGTAAGGTGAGCTAGGTTCCTGCCCTCATGTAGCTCACAGTCTAGTGAGGAAGGCAGACAATAAAACAAACAACTCAGGGACTATCAGTGTAGGTTTGGCGGTGGGGGAATGGAGGTCAGGAGTCAGAAAAGCTTTTAAGAGTTGCTGATCTCCAAAATAAGATCCAGAGAGCCATTTAGGTAAACACTTTGGCTCACATATAGATGTCGTAGAACCCCCCGCCCCGACCACCACACACAGTCTTTTCACTCATCGATTCCTTCATTCACCAAATATTTATTAAGTGTCTGCTATGAGCATGCATACCAAGGTCTTAGGGATATCAGGATCACTAAGTCAGGTAGAGTCTTGGAGGAAAACAGTGAGCAAATGATTTGCATCACATAGTGATGTAAATAATCATTGCATCATTGTGTGATGACCTAACGCACTGGGGTATCTGACCTAAACTGAATCTACCAAGACTTAGGACAGGTGGAGACATCCGCCCACCACGTGTGGATGAGTCTTCAGGCTCACGTATGTCTCCTGCATGCACTTGCAAGCACAGAAGTGTTTGTGCACATCTGCCACCCTTAGCTGGCTCCAGAAAGCCAAGAATGGATCTATGACCTACCGCTAATGTTCACATCCAGGACTTCTCTGGACACTCCCCACCTTTCCTTCCTAGGTTGACTCTGAGCCAGAAATGGACACCTACTTCTTGGAAGGTTTATAACCCTTCATCCCTCCCCAAATACTCATGCAGTTTATCTGACCAAAGAGAAAAGGTGGGAGCCCAGTGGGTAGGGACAGGAGCCTCTTAAGCCCAGAAGCTGGAAGAGCAGACCCTCCTTGCCAAGGCACAAAGTGCTGCCATCTAGATTGACCATGGGGACTGGGGATGTTATCAAGGAGTGGGACCTTGGGAGAAGTTATGGGAATGTGGGCAGGGGAGTCTGGTGGCTTCTGAGCACAGGTAGCAGCACGGTCTCTGTGTGTGCGCATGTGTGAGCTCTTGATGTCCCCGCAGGCACCCTCTTTTCCCGCTCCTGACGCTGCTGTTTGAGAAATGTGAACAGGCCACCCAGGGCTCTGAGTGCATCACCTCCGCCAGCTTTGATGTGGACATCGAGAACTTTGTCCACCAGCAGGAACAGGAGCACAAACCCTTCTTCAGCGATGACCCAGAACTGGACAATCTGGTAAAGACCCTCCACCCTCTGCCCTGGCTAGAGTCTTCCTACCCTCTGATCCCCTTCAAAATGCCCCAGAAATGATCCTTCTATTAATTCACCAACAAAAGATTTTGAGTGTCCACCTTGGGGCATGCACTAGATGCACCAGTCTTGCCACCAAGAACCATTTTTAAATGACTTAAACCAAGAGTTCCATGCACAGGCTTTGCTGCCAAAGTTCTGCCCATCTCTGCCCAGGGTGGCACTAGCATCTTAGCACCCATCCTTTTACAGTGCAGACAGGAGGAAAGAAGGGTCGTAGCAGCCAGAATATCTGGGGTAGCTGTTCTGAGTCCCGGAGTCCTGGCATGTTAGCAAATCTGTCTTGGGCTGTCCAGAGAGGAGCTAATAGTTGATGTGCTACTGTATGGAGGATGAAGGTAACTGATGTTTGAGCACATTAACCGAGAGAAAGACCTGACATCGATGTGCTGAGGAGACCAGTGGAGGACCGGTTCATTCTGGGGACAGGGTAGATCAGGCTCCCAAACCTAATTTGTCAACTAGATCATGACCACAGTTTTATAAAAATACATATTTCTAGGCCACACCACCTGGGAATTGTGATTCAGTGGGTTTGGTGGGAGCCTGTGAATCTACATTTTAAAAAGTTTCCTGAGCAGTTGCAATCATCATTAGGTTTGGTGACCACTGGGTCGGATGACATCTGAATTCTCATCTAGTCCAGGGAATTCTGTGGAGAGAGCAACAGAGAGGTTGCTCTGTTTGTCCATTACTCTAACTAGTCATCTTGGAATTATTAACCACAATTCTTTGTTTTTTGTGGGTGGATTACCCAGATTATGCACAGTGAATTTGGAAACTCTGGAAAACTCTCCCCAACAAATTGATTAATGATGGTGCTGTCTTCTTGCATTTAGAGTTTAACTGGTACCTACTTTCAAAAGGGAAACAGAATTAGAAAAGAAAATGTGGTTCCAGAAAGGAAGAAAACACACCACACACACACACACACACACATACACACACACACACACACACTCTGCATCTGCAGAACAGGTGTAACTGGCTTTGGTATTCTGTGCTGTGAATTATCCACACCACTGCTTCTCTCAAGAGCTGAATATGTGACTGGATGGAGTCCAGAAGAGCTGCCAGGAGAGCCCACCCTGGCCTGAAGCTTCGTGAAGTGTCACGATGGGTGGAATATTTGAAGAGCGGAGGAGGCCTTGCTAGAGGATAAGCGCTCACTTGCTGTCGGGAGGGTCAGTGAAGGCATCTGAGAGCCCCAAAGTCACCTTTTCTCATCCTGGGGCATCCCTTTCCCTGGCTGGGATTGGCAGTCCCCTTCCCAGGAGGCAGGTCACTGTCTCTCAGGTCCCCTGGGAAAGCTGCCCTGTGCAGGTGCTCCAGTTGCAGGCTGGTCTTGCTCTGCCCTGTGCTCTGACTGATCAGAACCACAGACTGCAGTTGCGGAGCAGATCCTCGCAACCTAGACCCATGGTAGCCAGGGGGCCAGGAGATGCCGCAGCCATTTCTGTGGGAGCTGGGATGGACCTGGGAAGCAGGGCCCACTCCCCTCATTTGGCACAATAAGAAACTGAGTCCTAAGTAGGCAAGGAAATATTGAAAAGTAAACTGGGTAGCTAATGTGAAATAATTTATACCTTCTTAAGAGGGAGGAGTCCTGGGGGAACACATTTCTCATGCCCTGCCCACAACGACCTGCCAGGTGAGCTCTGGAAGACCCACCAAGGGCAGCCTCCCATCCTAGCTCAGCCTGGAAAACACCCAGGTGGCCATCTCCATGCTCTCTCCTGGCCAACATGACGTGGGTTCCCCAGAGTTCTGTTCACTCAAAGAATCATATTTAGAATCAATTGAACAGAACTTGGTTGAGTGTCTGCCATGTGCCAGGCCTGACCCAGGGACATGGATGCTGTGGAAGCTGCCCTGGTGGCCCCATACTGCCAGCGTTCCCTGGTCTTCCATCTCAGGCACTGGGCTGGGAGTGTTCAGCCAGTGCAGCAAAGCTTGGACATTCCATCTACTTGGGTGCACCTGATTTACCTAGTTGAGTTAGCCATGGTCAGTGACTGGTTGACTGGCTGATTATGTAAATGGAGAATTTGAAAGAGCGCTCTCTGAGCCTCACCACTACTATCTGTGTGATTTGGATGACTTAACTCCTTTGAAGCTCGGTTTCCTCATCTGTAGATCTAACACACCTATCTCGCGTAATGGTAATACAAAATTAATGAGATGGCTCTGGGAAATGGCCTTTAAAAATGCCTGGCATCTGGAAGGTTAGTCTCAAGTGCAGGGCCCCTCCGACAAAGTGCTCCAGTTCCTCAACCTCACATCCTGGCCACCAAAGAGACCATGCGGCCGGGACCCTGAAACGTGATGTGGGGAGTCAGGCAGTGCCCCTTGCTACCTCCACCCCTGGTCCTGTGTCAGGAAGGGGGAGATAAAGAGGCCAACTGCAGGAGCCATCATTAGAACAAGAATCATGTAGCCAGCACAGCCGAGATGCACATAATTAGAAATTAGAAAAAGGTCAGATCGCGTCATTATCAGCTCAATCAAGCTGCCGAGTGCCACAGCCAGTTAATTTGGCATCTGTATTTTTTACAACCCCGCACACGTAGCCCAACGGACTGTAACTCTTTATCCGGACAGATATACTGCGCAGCCGAGCAGGGACATAAAATGAGAGACCCCAAGCAAATGAGCTGAGATAATTGAGAGATTTATTTTTTATATATATGTGTGTCAGGGCGGCTTTCCTTTGCCCTTGAATATTGACTTTCACAGGGATTGTCAGGGCACTTGGGTCCCCAAAAACTTTGTCCCTTGGAAGTTCTTCTCTCCCCCAGGGTCCTCAAGCCCCACTCGGGCCCTGCTTTCTCTCAGGCCCTGTAAGCCTGTAGTCTCCAGCCCCACCAAGCCCCCGATTTGAACTCAAATCCTCCCCATCCCCATCTGGCCACCTCCCTGTCCCCCGAGCAAGTTGCCCTGTACCACACTCCCCTATGTCCCACAGTCACCCAGGGCTGCCCTGAAGATCAGAGAGGTTCTCAGATTGTAGATTTCAGCAGGAACCTCCCTCCCTGCATTAGCCACCTGCTCCCACAGCACCCCTACCAGAGAAGAAACAGATTCATGAACCATTAGAGGGAAAAGCCCTAGAGAGGGCCGGGCACAGTGGCTCACCCCTGTAATCCCAGCACTTTGAGAGGCCAAGGCAGGCAGATCACATGAGGCTAGGAGTTCGAGACCAGCCTGGCCAACACGGTGACACCTCGTCTCTACTAAAGATACAAAAATTAGCCAGGTGTGGTGGTACATGTCTGTAGTCACAGCTCCTCGGGAGGCTGAGGCATGAGAATTGCTTAAGCCCAGGAGGCAGAGGTTGCAGTGAGCCGAGATCATGACACTGCACTCCAGCCTGGGCAACAAAGTGAGACCATCTCAAAAACAAACCAACAAACAAAAAGCCCTAGGGAGAAGCACGTCCTACCTCCGTTTATAGCCTGGGATGTAAGTTCACAGAAGGAAGTGACTTGCCAGGACCAGAACCCAGGTCAGCTGACTCCTGATCCTCCGCTCTGCCCACAACATCACACCACCACTCCTTCACTTGCAAATAAAAGTGCCCCCGATCTCTCTTTCCCTGCACCCATACTGTAACTCCCCATTTCCAGAGGATGAGGGTGGCTTTCCACCCTCATGGTGGTCAAACTGCAGTGCCCCTGACTGGCTCCCCTGGGAAAGGCCGGCTCCATCCTTCACTCCCTCCACTCCGATTCCCACAGTCACAGGGGCTCACCAGGCCAATTCCTTAGCTGGGCCCACAGATCCCCTCCTCAGGCCCACCAGCCTCTGACTGGCAGTTGGTAAAGTTTGTAAAATTTGCAAGTTCCCCAAAACCCTTTGAAACGTAAAAGCTTTTTGTTTTATAAAATCTGATTTACGGGCCCCCGGTGCAGGGCCAAGGTTTTATATATTATGCAAGATTTCAAACTGTGGCTGTAAAAAGTACGGTTTCAGTTTCATGCATGGAATTTTTTTATGTGTAAATTTTTTAACATTTATGGGGCACGTTTTAATGAGACTCTGGTGTGGCTCGAGGGACAGATTACGGCTGCCTGACCGCAAAGCCAGCTCTAAAATGGGGCCCCCCAGGCCCCTGGGCCCACTCTGAAGAGGCAGAGCCAGAGGCCGGAGGCTGTGGATAAGGAGGCACGTGAAGGAATCAGGCCAGAGCTCTGGGCCCAGAGGCCTCAGGCCAGCGGCATTCAGAGACTTAGCCACTTTGGCCTTCAGTCCAGGCTGTCTTTGCCTAGACAGGAGCAGAAAATCCCACAGACACCAGGAAAGGGAAAGGAAATGGGAATCATCAATGCTAGTAATAATGAACATTTATAGAGCACTTACCAGCTGCCAGGTACCGTTCCAACTATTTTACATGTATTATCTTATTTAATCCTCTTTCTAAACCCACAAGGCACATGTTACTATTATCCCCATTTTAAGAGGAGGCAACTGGGACACGAGATGCAGTCACCACCATGCGGCTGGTCCATGGCCCAGGCTGGAATCAAATACAGTGCAAGACTCGTGCTCCATAACCACACCCAAAGCAGCACTGGAGCTAATATCTTCTTCCGTCTTTCTCTGGGCCAGGTCTTGTTTTACATTTTCTTCTAGCCACATCTCATTTAACCCACAGTGCAACTCGGAGAAGTCACTATTATTATCTTATTTTCCAGGTGAGGAAAGTAAAGTTTAGAGATTATGTCAATTGTTCAAGGTCTCACCATAGGTGGAAGACCCAAGATACCCAAGACCTAAAGCCCTGAGTGTCTTCTTTGCTATTTAATTCTCACAAGAGCCCTGTGAAGTAGTTGTTATTATCCCCATTTGACAGAGGAAGCAATCAAGGACTGAGAACCCTGTAGCCAAGAAATTACATAGCTGGGATTTGAACCAAGTGGATCTAA